GAAAAACCAGTAACGACGGTGCCAGGCGGACCTCTTTGGGGAGCGCATTCCATAGATTGGGCGCCACCGCAGAGAAAGCCCTCCTCTGGGTACTTACTCTCCTAATTTCCTTCACGGAGGGTTCCCAGAGAAGGGCCTCTCCCGCAGATCTCAAGGGGCGGTCGGGCATATACGGACGTAAGCACTCGTTCAGGTAGCCAGGACCCAAGCTGTTTAGGGCTTTATAGGTCATCAGCAACACCTTGAATTGGGCCCGGGCTTCAATGGGAAGCCAGTGAAGCTGACGGAGGACTGGAGTCATGTGAGCATAACGCCCCATCCCCGTCAGCAACCTGGCAGCTCTATTTTGCACCAATTGAAGTGTCCGGACCGTCTTCAGGGGAAGAACTACTCTTAAGTAGTTCTTGCAGCATGTTAATTGCAATTTTATTAAACATACACAAACATACAGTGGTGTGTTTGTTTAATAAAATTGCAGTTAACATGCTGCAAGAACACGAATGTTTTTTAGCACCAAGCAAAAGCTGGAAGAACTGATGGTTTTGGTCGGGGGAAAATTTTCACCCACGATAGGTCTCCGTTTCTTCCTGGGGAGGAAACTCCGAAGAAGATGGGCCACCACTGAGTTTTTTCCCGTTTTTGAACATTTCCTCCCAGCAACTATTTGGATTGGGTGGACTTAGAATAAAATGAAGAAAACTAGGGCTTACCCTATTCTGCTCGGACTTCAGATTACACCGGCCATGCCCAGTACAGGAGAACCCAACAGGCATGCCCAGCACAAATCCTTCTCAGAACTTTGCATCTTCCCACTGTAGTCCTGAACAGCGAGAGCCAGTGTGGTGATGTAGTTACCGGGACTCGGGAGATCCGGGTTTTAGTCCCCACTCAGCCAACTGGGTGACTTTGGGCCATAGGCTTTCAGCCCAACCAACCTCTCAGGGTTGTTGTGGGGATAAGATCGAGAGCAGCAGGAGACTGATGTGAGCGACCTTCTGTTCCCATGAGGACAAAACGTGGCATATAAATAAAAAGCATCGAGAAGAAGCCTTCTCGAGTCGGTATGCCTGACTCCTGGTGTCCTCGAATCTCGGTTTTTTTTGTCTCTTTCGAGGAACCTCGGTGAAGGTTGATGTTGTCCTTTCCCCATCACCACCTCTGCTCATGTGGGGCCCCCACTCGCTCGCTCGCTCGCTCCCTTAGTGCCCCACATGGCAAGCCCCCACACCCGTTTCCACTCTTGCACGTTGCTTGCTCTAAGACAACTGCTCAAGCATCCGGGCAACTCCTGAGCTCTTGGCAAAAGCCAAGTCAGCTGGCAAAACCGTCAGTCTTCTCCCGCCCAGTCCTGACTCTACTTCCAACCTGGGCTGAAGAGGATCACACCTGAGTCACACCCCGTACACACATTTGTGTATATGCAGAAGAGGGATATGGGGCAAAGGGAGAAAAACCCAGTTAAGGGTTAAGACGGGAGCGTTTGAGGCAAGGATGAGGAGAGGCTGAAGGACACTCACAGTCCTGCCAAAGACGCGTGTTATGAATGTGAATATTTACATACATGACACTATCAAAGGTTCACAACAAAAATATCCAACACAAACATTTCACTTTCCAGCCAACTTCAACTGCCGGTCCACTGGGCCATGGCAGGGAACTTCCACACGTGGGACACTCAACTTGTAAAAAGCATTTATTTTTTATTTATTTATTTTATTATTATTTATTTAGAATTTTTGTATGCCGTCCCATTCGCATGAGCCTCGGGACGGCTTCCATACAATAAACAAACACAGCACAAATAGTGCCCATAAAATCCAGATTCACCCTGGCTGCAAAATAAAGACCTATAGATGATAAAAAGCACGCTGGCTTTTGCCTCCCAGCTGCTCTCTGCATTTTTATTTCCTTTCCTCACTGCCATCTCCCTCTGGGTCTGTTGCAACAATCTCTCCTTCACTGACGCCCTCTTTTCCTCTCTCCCCCATTCTGTGTCCGTCCCCTCACAGTCCAGGACTCCAGAAAAGTCCTGCCATGGGTGCCAGGTTCAAACAAGTCGAAAACGCCTGGTTCCATGCCTTCTATTTCTGTATCCTCCATCCACACGTTCTAACGACAGTGACACACGCGCTGGTGACTTCCTGCCTTGACTTCTGCAATGCACTCTACATGGGGCTACCCTTGAAGATGGTCCGGATACTTCAATTGGTTCAGAATAGAGCTGCCAGGCTGCTGACGGGGACTGGGCGTTATGTTCACATGACTCCAGTCCTCCGCCAGCTTCACTGGCTGCCCATTGAAGTCCGGGCCCAATTCAAGGTGTTGCTGATGACCTATAAAGCCCTAAACGGCTTGGGTCCTGGTTACCTGAAGGAGCGCTTACGTCCATATATGCCCGCCCGCCCGCCCCCTGAGATCAGCGGGAGAGGCCCTTCTCCGGGAACCCTCCATGAAGGAAATTAGGAGGGTATGTACCCGGAGGAGGGCTTTCTCTGCGGTGGCACCGAATCTATGGAATGTGCTCCCCAGAGAGGTCCGCCTGGCGCCGTCGTTATTTGCTTTTCGGCACCAGGCGAAGACCTTTTTATTTAAGCATCATTTTAATTGTTAATATTATTTGATTTTATCTGGCCAGGGCGACTTATTTTATATTGTTATTTTTTGTATTTTAACTTAATGTTTGTATTTTACAAGCATTTTAACTTAATGTTAAGTTAATGTTTTAACTTAATGTTGTGAGCCGCCCTGAGGCTTCGGCGAATGGGGCGGCATAGAAATGTTTTAATAAATAAATAAATAAAGGAGCAGATGGGTGTGGGGGGGGCCTGCAGGTCAAAGCTGCGAGAGTTGGAGAGGCCTTGCAGCCAGTCCACCCCCCAGCCTGCAGGTAATCCAGAGCTCCAGCTTCACCAGGACATGGTTGTCCACCATCTTCTGGAAACCCCTCGTGAGAAGGAGCCCACTCATTCCCAGCAGCTCCCTGAGGAAGTTTCTCCTGAAGCCCATCCTCAGAGCTACCCTCCTGTAACCAAAGCCTACTTGACCTTGCCCTGGGACAGCCTTTCAGGTACGTAGAGAACACAAGGACGTCTCTGCTCAGAGACCTGAAGATGTGCATCCTTTGAAGTCTCTGGTGCCCACCTGGAACCTCTTCGAGCTGGGCCAGATAACGAGAGGGCAGGTTTCTTGGCCAACTGCCCTTCTTTGCATAAGCTGCATAAAGAAATGACCCTGGAGAAAGCCACTCTGGATGTATGTATGTATGTATTTAAAACATTTCTATGCCGCCCCCATCGCAACAAAGCCTCGGGGCGGCTCACAACGTTCATAAAAAATACAATTAATAATTTAAAAACTGGTACCATCTTGGCTATATATATTAAAATTTATAAATACACTAATAATAAATTAACAGTTAAAATAACTTTTAAATAAAAAGGTCTTTGCCTGGCTCCGAAAAGCAAATAATGACGGTGCCAGGCGGACCTCTCTGGGGAGCGCATTCCACAGACGGGGCGCCACCGCAGAGAAAGCCCTCCTCCGGGTACTCACCCTCCTGATATCATTCACAGAGGGTTCCCGGAGAAGGGCATCCGTTGCTGATCTCAAGGGGCAGGAGGGCATATATGGACGCAAGCGCTCCTTTAGATACCCAGGGCCCAAGCCATTGAGGGCTTTATCGGTCATAACCTACAGCTTGAATTGGGCCCAGACTCCAATCGGGAGCCAGTGGAGCTGACGGAGAACTGGGGTTATATGAGAACAACGCCCAGTCCCCGTCAGCAGCCTGGCAGCTCTATTTTGCACCAATTGAAGTATCTGGACCGTCTTCAAGGGTAGCCCCACGTAGAGCGCGTTGCAGAAGTCTAGTCGGGCAATGCTTCTCTTCCATACGAACTTTTTCCCATATTAATGATAAAAGCCGTTACACTGGGAATTCGACTGCTAGC